AGATATTAGAATTTTTCAAGGAACCTTCTGAAGCCCCCCTCATGTGTTTATGTGTATTTGTTTCAAACCTCTACATCTGGGCAATCTGGGGACTTATTCAATTGGATCATTTCATCCATCTTCATGCCTAATACCACTTGTTGTTGTTGTGAAGTGCCATCAAGTCGACTCCCACTCATAGCGACCCCAGATAGGGTTTCTGAACAGTGACTGGTGGGTTTGAACTGCTGACCTCGAGGTTAGCAGCTCAGCACCAATCTTACAGCACCAGACTCTGACTCCATTCAGCACCGACAATTTGCCTGCACAGTGATGTGCACATTAATGTCAACTGAAATAAACAAAGTAGTCAAAATATTAAATGGATCGCTACTTTACTTGGAATCTTGGTGTGATGCTGTTGGATAAGCACTCAACTGCAAGGACGGTTTGAACGCCAAGGTCAGTGGTTCAAACTGATCAACCACTCCTTGGAAACCCTAGGGTTGCTCTGAGTCAGAAATGACTAGGGACTTAATAGCAACAACTACTTTACTTGAAGAGGCAGATTTATCTCTCTCTTTGTGCCTAGAATTAGCTTTTCTAGAGTGTGATTACTTGTTCAACCACTTTCATGAAAAGCATGTATTCTGTACAAAACACACTGCATACATAAATAATACAAAGATGATTGACAGGCATAACAAAAGATAGAAATAGATATACAATAGAGGTTCTAGGTCAAGGGAAAAGGAGCAGAAGTATGGAATATCATACTAGTTAACATTTTACAAACTTGATTCCTAAAACTTATAAAAATGAAATGTAGAATATTGACCTGGCAGGGTCAATTTTGTATTTATGTTGGGTTACATTATGGTGGTATTGTTGCTCATTTGTCAATTTGTCTTACTGTGGTGGTTTGGTTTTGGGTCTGTTGCTGGAAGCTATTCCTCTGGTATTTCAGTATCGGCAAAGTCAACTATGGTGGGCAGGTTTTAGCTAAGTCTCCAGACTAGAGAAAAAGTCTGGCAACCTGATTAGAAAATTAGTCAGTGCAAATCCTATGGAGCAGAATAGGATATTATTTGACTGGACTCAAATATGCTTTAAATTGTGAAAATACCATAAGAAAAGGCAACATTTTGTTCTATAATCCATGGGGTCACTATCAGTTAGAACCAACAATATGGTGACCAACATCAGTAGGGTTGCTTAATGACTTGGGCTGGAAAGTTTATTTATACAAATACATCCAAATGGGAAGATTTTAGGGGCAAATAATAGGGGTACAGGTTAAAGCTTTACTTAATTCTAAACTGTCTGTAATCATCATTAAATCATTTTTGAAATACAAGCAACCCAGTTTTCTCTTATTGATATCTTTTCCAGAAACTTCCTCCTAAGAAAGAAGTGAAACCTGGCATGGCTTTCCTCTTTGAACTTGTTCTCCTTCGAGGAACCTATGCTGGTCTTAACCAGGTTGTGGGCTGGGCAGCCTTCCCTCTGTGTAATAACAACTTTGATGTAGTAGAAGGAAAATTCAAGTGTCCCCTTCTCCGAGGTCATTATGACCAGAAACTTGGCAACTTCAAGACAATTGAAGATTTGATTTGCCTGGACTTGGACCACTGGCTATGCAATCTCTATTTTCAGGTGTGCAATAAAATTTTGTAGTTTGTAAAAAGAATTGAGAAAGTTTCAAAGCTCCTTCTAGCCATTAGCTTTCTTTCCTGTTATTGAAAATTCCAATAAGCAAAGTACCATACAATTATAAAAACAATTATATCTCATTGTTGATTTCCGATAATGCAGGTTAAATTCATGCTTGCAAATAAGGTATAAAATTCTAAAGTTCACAGGAAAGTTAAAGATAATTAAATCTAACTCTATTTTTAAAAATGAGCCAAGTTTGCTCTCTAAAACAGATCCTGTTGTGGAGGTTGTTTCCTCAGCAGCTTCATGTTGGGAATATAGGACTAAAGTATATCTCTTCAACAAAAACACTTACTCTGTTGTCTGTTGGCATGGCCCGCTCTAGGGACACTCAAGAGATAAGATGCACTCTATACGTCCATTGCTTGCCATATATTGATGAGACAGACAAGTGTTCATACAAGACAGCTACTGACCCACATTGCCATAGGCTACAGGTAGCCTTCACAAAGCTGTCTCCTTTTGCTGACCACTTTGAAGCATGCTATCTTGTTTACCTCAAAGTGTCTCTTTTTACCTCATATGTTAAAACAAAAATAAAATATCCATCACTAGATATCATCGATTTGTTCATGTTTAGTGGTCTGTCTGTTATCTAGCCTAGTGTTGTAGCAGAAATGTGATTCCATAAATCTATTGTAGACTTCACAATTAAATAGCAGGTATCCAGAAAGGAAAATGAAAGCATACACCAAATACAAAGCATTCCAGTTCAGTCCAGTACTGTCATGGCCAATGAAGTAAACTTAGAATGAGCTTGAATTTATAAAAGATGGATGAACCAAAACAATAGCCAGATTATGAAAGATTGTAAATTGACACCCTGCTAGAAACACAGACTCCTTCTTAGAAAACAGAAGAAGTGTGTGCACTGCATAGCAACCAATTCTCCTGATTAGCAGAGTCTGGAACAGTGATGCTCAGCTCAAAGATGGTGGCCAGCTTTCAAAGTGCGGTGCTCTCCACAGTCCTGACAATCATCTAATCTCTTACACTAGGCTCCTAATAAAGGCCACTAAACTTCTTTCTAACCTCCCACCCCAGGGCTTTGGGCCATGATTTTTTCAATACTGGTTATCATTCCATTTCAGATAAATTTGAAAACGGTAGGTTCATCCTGGTTCTATCTTGTTGATGATGGCCATGGTTTGAACTGGTTTGAAGCCCTGATTTACAGTCTTGGAAACCCTCTAAGGCACTTTCTCTTCTAGGATCACCATCATTCTAAATAGATTAAGGGGAACGACTTTAGTTTGTGCTTCATGCGTAGTGCCCACTATGCATTATGTTGTTGTTGCTAAGTGCCATCGAGTTGGTTCCGACCCATAGTGACCCTGTATAAGGTTTCCCAGCAGCAGCTGGTGAGCTTGAACCACTGACCTTGTAGTTCAAATGGCTTGGCAGTCTGACGCATTAACCCACAGCACCATTATTTGTTGTTGTTAAGTGCCATTGAGTCGGTACCGACTCATAGTGACCCTATGCACAACAGAATGAAACACTGCCTGATCCTGGGCCAACCTCACTATTGTTGCTACCCTTGAGCCCACTGATGCTGCCATTTTGTCAATCCATCTTACTGGGGGTCTTCCTGTTTTTCTCTGACCCTCTCTCTACCTTACAAAACATGATATCCTTCTTTGGTGACTGGTTCCTCCTGACAATATGTCCGAAGTATGAGAGATGAAGTTTAGCCATCCTGGCCTCCAACGAGAACTCTGGCTGCACGTCTTCCAACACAGATCTTTTGGTTATTTTGGCAGCCCATGGCACTTTCAATATTCTCCTCCAATTATAGACGGATGTAAATGCCTATGGGCATTCTTAGTTGGTAGACAACAATAGAAAATTTCTCCATCTGTGCATTACATAGGGCATGAATGAATGAATGCAGCTCATTAAGGATTGTAAGGCAGAGTAAGTAAGAATCTAGCGCTTCTGTTTCATGAGGATGTGAAGATGAAAAAATAAAATGCAAAACTCTATTCTTAAAATTCTATTTTCCATTTAAGTGAAATTTAAGGAATATCAACTTACTTATTACAACGTGAGTTTCATTTTCTCATATGAAAACATTTCTGAACAAGTAAATGTACATTTTGAGTACTCCTTTTGGAGATAAACAGAAAAAGCCCCCCTTCCCCAAAATTTAGGATTGAGAAGTGAAGACAGATAAAACAATGAGAGAACAGAATATGGTTTTTGCATTGTAGTGCTAAAAGAGATTGAAAGAAACTCATAAATCCAGGTAAGTCCAGACAACTTCTGCCCCCCTATCTAGTACTAGGGAGGAAAGCATCGTAGATCAAAGAGAAGCTGGCTGAAGCAGGATGTGTGGTTTCATCATAATCTCCTGTGTTGCACTTTGATGCTATTAGGGACAGGATTGAGGATTAACATCCTGAACATTAGGAATGATAAGACAATTGCTTAGTGAGTACTCATATATTCATGACTCTGAAATCCAACCAAACCAAAGACACTGCTCTGCTGTCAAGTCTGACTCATAGTGACCCTGTAGAACTGCTTCAGGTTTCCAAGGCTCTAAATCTTTATGAAAGCAGATTGCTTCATCTTTCTTCCATGGATATCTCTCCCATGGTTGGTTCAAACCACCTTCCTTTCAGTTAGCAGCTCAGTGATTAAGTCACTGCACCACTAGGACTTCTTACAGTCATCAATGGTGGTGATGGTGCCTGTGTCCCATCAAGTCAGTTCTGACTCATAGTAACCCTGTATAGGGTTTCCAAGGCTATAAGAATCTTTCAGGGAACAAGAAGTCTCATCTTTCTACCATGGAATGACTGGTGGATTCAAACTGCTGGTCTTTTGGTTAGCAACCCAACTTATAACCCACTACACTACCAAGACTCCTCAGAGGCATCACTAAGTTGTACAAATTTCTCATTTCTTTCAAATTTAAAATATTATTCCTTACATATTATAAACACTGAATCTTTATTAATTTCATTCCAACATAAATTTTAGTTAAAATGAACAAATGTGTAGAACAAATGGTGATATCTTAAGCAAATATGGAAATCTGTTCATACAAAAAAAAATTCATTCTTTTTAGTGCTGCCAAACAAAAGCAAATACAAGACTTGGAAGACTGAATTCATATTTGACTCTTTGGATGATGTAAATTGAAATGCTGTGATTGTATGTGTGACTTTACAGAATTTTAGATAACAGATTGATCTCTTAATAGGTTATTAAACTTCCTTTGCATTTGGATGATCCAAAACGCCATGAAAGACATGCACAGCTTTTTCCTGAATTTCCAATTTGTCTCCTGACTGAAGCAGAGAAAGCTGAAGTAGACATGGAAAATACAGCTCACCTTTCAGAGAAAGAAACCGTCTTCTTTCAGAGAAAGAAAAATGCTTCTGCAACAATGGATAACCATGGCAGATCCTTTGTACACTTTTTACAAGGTTAGTTGATATGTTTTTCACCTTGCTACTCATAACATTTTAAGATGTGCTATTGTATGTAAAGAAACCCTGATGTGGTGCTGTAGGGTAAACACTGGACTGCAAAGTCGGCGGTTCAAACCTACAAGCCACTCCTTGAAAACCCTATAAAATGTTGCTATGAGGTAGAACCCACTTGATGGTACAACATTGTTTTTAAAGAAGCCCTAGTAGAAGGAGCTCTGGTAGCGTAGTGGTTACGAATTGGGCTGTAAACCATAAGGTCAGCGGTTCAAAACTACCAGAGAGTAGATTCAGACCCTCAAACTGTTGGTTAGTCAAGCATATTAACTGTTTGCCTCACTAAGTGACTGTCTTATAAAACTGGTTTACAGGTATTAGTTCATTCTTTGCTAATGTATACTTTCTAATCCACGTCATTAAGGAGAATGTAATCATTGATAAGAATATTAGCTTTCATATCATATCGTCTATTATCAAATTGTTGTTGTAAGTGTCTTCAAGTCCAATCTAACTTATAGTGACCCTATATAGAGTTTCCAAGAAGCAGCTGGTGAGTTTGAACCATCAACCTTGTGGCTCAAACTGATCTTGCGGTCCAGTGCTTTATCTTACAGCACCTTACCAGGACTCCAAAATTATTAAACTGAATCAGAAGGTTTTCTGTTTGGCCTTACTACCATACAATACTTTTCAGCATTTTGGGGTAGAGTTGATTCTTATTCTTTTTCTACAATTTAATCTTTCTCTATGAGCATAAGAAAGATAATCAAGAAATGTGTATTGAAGGGAAAATGTTCTCAGGAAGTGTTTCTCAAGTACTATGTTGTTGTTTCTGTTATGTGGCATTGAGTCCGTTTTTGAGACTTGTAGCATCCTTGGGCACAACCAAAAGAACACTGCCCAGTCCTGCTTCATCCTCACAACTGTTGTTAAGCTTCAGCCCATTGTTGCTATGCTCTGTCAATCCATCTTGTTGAGGGTCTTCCTCTTTTTTGCTGACCTTCACTTGAGCAAGTATGCGTTCCTTCTCCAGAGACTCGTTCCTCCTGATAACATGCCCTAAATATGAGATATGAAGTGTTGCCATATTTATTTTATGAACTTTCTGTTTACAAAGACTGGTTTAAGTAAGCACTAAATAATCAAATTAAGTTCTTTGAAAAATTCAGTGTACAACATTTCCAAATTGTTCAAGAGATATATTAAGATGATTATTTATTTTACAACATAATTCTTTTTTTTTTTTTTTAAACTAAAGGATTCCCCAGAAGATTCTTTAATAGGGTAGATTATCTAGCAGTAATAATAATATTAGCAGTAATAATAGTGGAAGGAATAGTAGTTGCAATAATAGTAGAAGTTGTATTAGTTTATTACTGTTGTTGTCAAACAAAATACTGTGATCCTTCGCCATCCTTACAGCATAATAGCGTTACTAGAAGTCTTGCCAGTAATTACACGCATTGCATATTTTAAATATGCCATGCATTATAGCAAGTAATTTATTTTTGAAATTTAAAAATATTCCAAATTGGACTGCAAAGTCAGTATGAACCACAAGGTTGGTGGTTCAAACTCACCAGTCGCTCCTTGGAAATCCTGTACAGGGTCGCTATGGGTCAGAATCGACTCAACAAGTACCCAACTTCATCAATGCTTGTTAATTTGCCATAAATGCTTCACTTTTTTCTTTTAAGAAATAATATGTTACATGACATTAAAGCTCTCTTTGAGCTGGTCCCTGACTCCGTTGCCAGCGCTCTTAGATTTGATAATTGTCATTTCCATGCAGCTTTGCATCTGTTTTCTATACATAGTGTACTCATAAGCAATGTGTTTTCTAGGTTTTAAAACTTTGTGCAAATATATTATACTTCGTACTCACATCTAGTTTCTGATTTATTGATTTCACTATTATATAGAATTTTTTACATGAACATAAAAGTTGTTATTTATTATTATTAAAACATTGTAAATTTATATGAGAGTGACACAGTAATTGTATTACTTTACCCTCTTAACATGTATGAGAGTTTCTTTAGTCCAAACCATTAAACATGAGTTTTAATTATGTCTGAATGTCTTAGGGACACATATTCTATTTTTTCTAAGATTCATACTACCATCTGAATTTTTTGTAAATGACATTCTCAAAAAGCTTATATTATTTTTCTATGCTATATTGAGGAAACTTAGAAGATCTGTGGTGCTTTTTTGGATTTAACTTAGCTGTATAAGTCTAGAGTTTATTTTGTACAAGTAGATAATATGTGCTTTTAAACATAAATTTATAAATTGCATAGTTTTTATTGCTGCATTTACTTTTGTTGATAAGCTTTTACTTGCATTTTATATTTATCATCCTTTATCTTGGCTTGCAAAAAATACTTTCTTTTCTGAATTTTTCTTTAATTATAGTTTTTTTCTATTTTGTTTCTCCTTTGCTTTTTATAATCCATAGATGTTATTGTTTAGTATTTTACTTGTTTTCTTAATTTGCTCATCTAAATATCTAGGCATGCTGGTGTTACACTGGGCTAAGCATTGGGTTGCTAACCAAAAAATTGGGGTTCAAACCCACCAATTGCTCCATAGAGAAAGATGAAGCTATCTGTTCCCATCAAAATGTACAGCCTGGGAAGCCCTAGGGAGTAGTTTTACTCTGTTTTATAGTCACTATGAGTTGGAATCAACTCAATGGCAGTGGAGGGTTTTTACATGGAGTTCTGGTGTGGCACTGTAGGATAAGCATGTAGGGTTGGTTTGAACCACAGGTCGACAGTTCAAATTCACCAGCCACTCCTTGGAAACCTTTTGCAGGATAGCTATGAGACGGAGCTGACTTGATGGCTCTTCACAACAGCAACAGCAATCTATAAGTTATCTTTTAAAATCAAGGTCCTTCCAGTATTCCTATTCTCTACTGGAATGTAACAAGTAATTTACTCTTGCCAAACAATAGGCACTCCCACATCACTCTCCCATAACAGTTGACTATCCTTTCAGTTTCAGTTTTTAATTAAACTCAAAATATGTTTTGTTTTTATTTGCCATCATTAAGAAATTAATTTACTGACACAGTTGATTAATATCTGTGCTTCACAATATTTTTAACATAGCATGTCTTGGCTCTGGTTCCACTTTTCTTCTTGCTAAAACAAATCTTTTTGTAATTCATTTAGAGTGTGGATCTGCGAGTGGTAAACTCAGCCATTGTGCAATTGAAAAATGCATATTTTCCCACATGTTTGATAGATCACTTATCCAAATATAAAATTTTGGGTTGATAATAGCAGTTATGGTAGCTGCTATTAAGTGGAGAGCAACTGAAGAATCTTACGAAGCAGAAAGACTTACGTTAATTTCTATTTTCAGTGGATCCCTCTGGTCAATTTTGTTTGTTTTAACTTTTTTTTGTGATTTGGGCAAAGGTTTACAAAGCAAATTGGTCTTCCATTCAACCATTCATAAGCATTTTGATACTACGTGACAGCGATTGCAATCTTCATAACATAAAATCACTATTCCCACTTCCTCATGTTTCCCATTTTCATTTGTCATTATTTCCTATCCTTGCTTGCTTTCTAAGCTTTATCCCGAGGAAAACATTGCCCTTTTGGCTTCATACGGTTGATTGCTCTAAGGAGCAGTACCTCCTTGGTATAATTGTTTGCCTTACAGACCTATCATTTGTCTGAAAGGTGAGCCACAGGGGTGAGTTCAGTTCCAGGCCTGAAGGGTGTCTAAAGGGCACAGTAGCCAGTCTCTATCACACCAGTAAATATGGCCTTTTTTTGTTGTTTTGAATTTTGTTGTACAGCTTTTTCCCGCTTTATCTAGGACCTCCTATTGTTATTCCTTTCACAGTCATCAGCAGTGGTAGCCAGGTACCATCTAGTTTTTCTGGTCATGGAGGCTGGGGCTCATGGGATCCATTAGTCTTTTGTGCTTAAATGTTTTCCGTGTCTTTGATTTCCTTCACTCTTCTTTGCTTCCGATGGGAAATGACCAATAGTTGCATCTTAGATGGCTGCTCACAAGCCTTTAAGTCCATAGTGTCTACTCATTGTAGGATGTCAAACATTGTTTTTGTGGACTCTGCTGTGCCGTTTAACCTCGGTGTATCCCCAGACTGTGATCTTGAACTCCCTGACCCAGTGACTCATGCCCTCAAGATGGTTGGTTATGACTAAGAAATCTTTATAACTTTGCCTGCGTGTTGTTGTTGTTGCTTTTATTAGATACGATCAAGTTAGTTCCGACTCATAGCGACCCTATGTATAATAGTATAATAATATAATTGAAACACTGCCCAGTCCTGTGTAACCTCACAATCATTGTTAGGCTTGAGCCCATTGTGCAGACATTTTGCCCATCTATCTCATTGGGTATCTTCCACTTTTTTGCTGGCTCTCCGCTACCAATTATGATGTCCTTCCCTAGGGTCTGATCCTTCCTAATAATCCTTCCTAATAATATGTCTCAAGTATGAGAGATGAAGTCTTGCCATCCAGGCTTTTAAGGAGCATTCTGGCTGTACTTACTTCAAAACAGATTTGTTTGCTTTTCTGGAAGTCCATGGTACTTTTAATATTCTTCTCCAACACTGTAACTCCAATGCATCAATTCTTCTATGGTTTTCCTTATTCATTGCCCAACTTTCACATGCATATGAAACTAATGAAAATACTATGGCTTGGTCATGTGTAACCCATATTGAAAGCTGTGGTCTTTGATTTTCATCAGGAAGCATTTTATGTCCTCTCTGCTTCCAGCAAGAAGGTTATATCATCTGCATATTGCAGTTTGTTAATGAGCCTTCCTCCAAACCTGATGACACTTTTTTTTCTCGAATTATGTGCTCAGCATACAGCTTGAATAAGTATAATGAAAGAATACAACCCTAGCACACACCTTTCCTGATTTTAACCCATTTGGTGCCTCTTTTTCTGTTAGAGTGACTGCCTCTTAGTCTATGTGTAGGTTCCTCGAGAACA